AGAAAGAAAGAAAGAAAGAAAGAAAGAAAGAAAGAAAGAAAGAAAGGAAGGAAGGAAGGAAGGAAGAAAGGAAGGAAGGAAGAAAGGAAGAAAGGAAGGAAGGAAGAAAGGAAGAAAGGAAGGAAGGAAGGAAGGTGACAATTAAAAATATTCCAAGAGACATAATTGCTGGGTAATTTAATCATTTTATTAATAAGGCCAGCATATTTATTAAGAAAAAGATGGTCATTTGACCATCTCTCTTAGGCCAAAGATCCCTAATGGCAGTGGGGTCATAGTTTATTTGCTCTTTGAAGAGTAAGTGTTCCTAAGGGGTGGCATTTGAATCCATGGGAACTGATAGCATTACCAAGTGGGATAGCAAGAAGATGCCTTGAGCCAGACCTTTAAGGGAACATTCACTGTTAGTGGGTATGCCTTGGATGAAAATCTAGTAAAGGAGACACAGGAAGAGTCATCATTCAAGTAGGAGAACTAGGAAAGAGCACTATCACAAAAACCTAGAAAGGAAAGATTACCAAGGAAGAAAAGCTGAAGACAGGTAGAGAATGAGGATTCAGAAATGACTCTTTTCACTTCCTGTCATTAGATTGTCAATTAAGAGGTCATTTGTGACTTTAGACAGGGCAGTTTCAGTTGAATGATGAGGACAGAAGTCAAATTGCCCAGAGTAGGGAAGGAGAGAAAAAAAATGTATGCACCTGTTGCAAGACTGTGAGCTTAGCAGAGAAGAGGAGAGAAAAAGGACAGTAGCAAGCAGAGATGGTCATCATTTGTTTCAGTTAATTTTTAGCTAATTCTAGGATTGTATAAATAAATCATCATATCATCTGTAAAAAAAAGAATGATTTTGTTTCCTTTTTACCTTTATTTATTCCTTGAATTTTTCTTTCTTGTCATATCATTTCTAGTTCTATGTCAAATAATGGTGGCAATGGTGTGCATCTTTGCTTTACCCCTGATCTTTTTGGAAAGGTCTCTAGCTTTTTTCCATTATATATATTTAAAATATACGCTGTGTGTGTATGTGTGTGCATGTATATATGGAGAGTGAGAGATGAGTATGTGTGTGTGTTGCATGCTGTATTACTTTGTTATTCACATGTTACCTCCACCATTAGAATGTAAACTCCTTGAGGGCAACAACTATATTTGCCTTTCATTGTATCTCCAGCTTTTAGCACAGTACCTGGCACATAGTAAGTGTTTAACAAATACTTCTTGAATTACTGACAGGCAGTCTTCCCCCTCTAGATCAGGAGCTTCCTAGGACCGCCAGAAGAAAATGACAGATTCAAAGATTATGAGTTAGTAGAGACCTTAGAAATCACCAACTCCAACATTATCATTTTATGAATGAAAGAACCTAGGCCTAGGAAAAGGAAGTACTGGCCTAAGTCAGAGGCAGAGCCTGGAGTGAAGACCGTTTCTACTGGTTTTTATGTCAGTGCTCATAGATTCATTGAATTTTGATCCCTAGAAGGCAACTTGACAAACAGAACATAGAATTTTAGATCTGGAAGGGACCTTGCTAAGTAGAATGTTTAGAATTAGAAAGGGCCATAGCACATCTAGTCAAAGTCACCTTCTTGCTGTTCCTCACACACATTCCATTGCCCTTCTCTATGCTGTCCCTGAGGCTGTCCCCAATGCCTGGATTCCTTACTAGTGCTAGTGAGTCCTACAAAAATGACCTTTTATTTATTTTGCATATACATTTATGGGTGTATGTAGTCTCTCCCTAAAGAAGATAAACTCAGGGGTTATGACATCAGGAATTATATCATTTTTAGCCTTGTATCCTCATCACTTCATAAGAATGTCGCTTGAAACATAGTAGAGGCTTAAAATGAATGCTAGTTGATTGACTTCTAGAAAGAATGTTGAACCTGAAAGGAACGTCAAAAGTCTAGGCTAGATCCCTTAATAAAAGGATTTGTTCTATGAAGTTTGGATTCAATCAAAGGGCCACACTTGAGGACCTAGAGGGCCACATGTGGCCTTGAGGCCAAAGGTTCCCCATCCCTGGCTAGCCTAACTCCCTCATTTTGCAGATAAGTAAAACCTTCCCACTATACAAAGTCCTAACCCAGTATTTGATACTCTTGTCACCTCCTACCCCAGCACACCTTCTTTGCTCAACAGCTCAGGCCATAGGTTCTTAACTGTTCCTTGAGTGTAACTAAACTTTTTCCTACCTATATCTGCTCCCCACCCTCACAGTCAGTCACTCAATAAACATTTATTAAGTGACTACTGTGTCAAGCACTGTAAGTACTGGGGATATAAAAAAGAGGCCAAAGACAGTCCCTGCTCTCAAGGAGCTCACAATATAATGGGGAGATGATGAGCAAACAAATATATACATACACATATTATAAATAGGATAAATAGAAAATAATTAACAGAGGGAAGGCACTAGAATTAGGAGAGGTTGGGGAAGGCTTCCTGTAGAAAGTGAGATCTGAGTTGGGATTTGAAGGAAACCAGAGAGGTCAAGAGTCAAGAATGAAGGAGGGAGAGCATTCCAGGCATGGAAGACAGCTTGAGAACATGCCAAAAGAGATGGAGTATTTTGTTCTTACAACAGCAAGGATGTCAACATTCCCCCTTTCTAGAACATCCATCCCTCCTTCTTCCAGGTATTTGGAATCTTTGCCCAGTTATGACCTTCTCTAGGAAGTCCTCCCTAATCACTTCCCTCCTTCCTCTAAGCCCCTCCAGCTTGGGTTATAGGTGACCCTCACCCTGGGGACACTGTGCCGGAGGCTAGAGTACTCTTCGTTCTTATGAGTCATCATCATTATAAAAGCTAACATTTCTATAATGTCCACTATGTGCCAGTCTATGTGCTAAGTGCTTTAAAATTATTATCTCATTTGGTACTTACAACAACTCTTTGAGGTAGGTGCTATTATTATCTTCATTTTATAGATGAGGTCAGAGGCAAACAGATTAAATTACTTGCCCTGGGTCACACAGCCAATAAATGTCTGAGGCAGGATTTGAATTCAGGTCTTCCTGAGCCCAGCATTCTATCCACTCCACCACCTGGCTGCCCCCAATACATAACCCCCCCACCCCCACACACTCACATTTAAATATAGGTAGTATAGGAAGTTCCATAAAGCAGAGTCCAGTTATAATGTTTCTATCTCAGCCCTTGATTGAATGATCATACCCTATTGATCAATTGCACTCTGGAATCCCCAACAATCGCACAATGGATGAAACACACAGAATGTTTTCCATGGGTCTTTAGGATAAGTCTTTATTTCAGACACACCCCCAGGGCATGAGAGTGATAAATAAAGTAATTTAAAGTGCACTTGCCCAGAATAAATACACAATCGGAGATATGAGACAGTGACTGGCACTCTCCCTCCCCTCCTTGGCTTGGAGTTCTTTAGACTAGCAAACTCTTGCCCAAGTCTCTTCAGCCACTGAGAGGATGGGTGACCTCCAAGTATTTCACATGAAGGTCCCCATGAGGTAGTTCAGCACCCCTAGAAGCCAGCAGGGAAGAGGTAGCTTCTTGGTCCCAGTCCCTGGTCTAGGAATGATTATATAAATAAATAAATAAAAATTGTTATTTCTGAAAGGCTTTCAGGTATATAGATTACCTCTCTCTCAATAATCCTATGAAGTAGGCAGTGCAAGGATTATACCCATTTTACAGATGAGAAAACTGAGGATGAGAGAGGTTATGTATCCCACAGCAAATAAATGTCAAAAACTGGATTCAAAACCAGGACTACTCTGCCTCTCTATCCTTAGACACCCCCACTGTGAGGACCCAGAACCAGCATGGCTCCCATAGCCCTCTACTGCCTCTTTCTGAGGCATGTCTGGACTTGCAGAGAACTGCTGGCAGTTAGGCTGGGGATTCCCCAAGGCTCAACCACACCATGGGGGGTCCCCAGGTTAAATAAAACAAGGACATTTCTGCCCAACTCCTCCTCCATCTTCCAAAGAAGACATCACAGTTTCAGTTAATTGGTCACAATAAATATGCCCCAGATTCAGTTAAGGGCTGTCCCCCAGCCACCCAGAAAAGGCCAAAGGTACTGGCCCCTGACACCAGCTGCCAATCCAGGAAGTCTCCTGCTGTGGTGCTCATGCTGAGCCTGAGTCGGTCCCCAGGATCCAGGAAGATGAGGGAGGACTGGGAGGTGGAGGCAGTGGAAGCGCTGGAAGGTCCCACATCCAGGGAGAGAGTCAAGGCGGCTCGATGTTCAGAGCCCCGTGCCACAGAGACTTCCACGGTGCCCTGACTGTAGGAAGAAACCATCACCTGCTGCAGCTTCAGGTGGGCATAGATGAAGTAAAGCCCAGCGACCCCAACCTCCAGCTCTCCTTTATCAGCATCATACTTCATTCTTGAGTCCAGGAACACCCCAGAAAGATGAGGGTCGCTGTGCCAGCTCAGCGTCTGGTTCTGCACCAAGGCTGTGGGAGCCAGAGGAGACAAAGTCAGTCTAGTTCCAGCATTCCCAGAATCCCAATATCAAATAATGGCCAGAAGAGTGGTCAAAGGTTTAGTAAGGAGGTTCATTTTGGAGAGGCTTTGGCATCTCTATGTCCCACACTGGAAAGAGACCAAGATTGGGGGAAGGAGAGAATCCCTGTTTAGTTCATACACACACACACACACACACACACACACACCCCCTCTGAGCTGGAGTGGTTTCCTTGCCCCTGACAGTAGATTCAGAGCCTCACTATCCTTAAGTAAAAGAAGAAGGTAAGAGAAGAACAGAGGAGAGCATGGATCATAGGATCACAGATTGAGACCTGGGGTTGGGAGGGGGGGAATAGAAGCCACTGAGTACAACACCCCCCCTCATTTTACAGATAAGAAAACTGAGGTTACATAAGTAACTTGCCCAGGGTCATAAAGCTAATAAATGTCTGAGGTACGATTTCAAACTAGGTCTTTCTGACTCTAAATTCAGTGCCCTAAATTCACTACAGGGAGAATAAATTGAGGGGAGGGGGGAAGGTATGGATTACACTTACCATTTTTCATCACCAGCTGGGCATAGGGGCCCTGGAAAGAAGAAAGACAAGTTGAGCTCACCTGGATCACCCTGGGAATATAGAGGAGATTTCTCTCCCTTTATCCCTTCTGAACCACCACCAGACTCTCCTTCAGTACTCACCCCCTACACACACACACACACTCACACACACACAGAGGCAGGATCTGATCCCACTATTGCAAAGTACAAAACTTAGCCCATGACCAATCATGGCTACCCCTCGAACCTGCTTCCCTTCACACACCCATCCGTAGTGTCTCCCTAACTGCTTAAAACCCGCTCTACCAAACTTCAAGAGGAAAAAGGTCTGAGTCTTTAAGGGCAGCAGGTTGGATGAGAGGGGACAAGGCTGGGGAGGGGAAAAATGGAAAAAATGAGAAGGGGTGTCCCTGGGGGTGCCTAGAATAAAAAAGAGATCCTTTGGGATTTTTCAAATGGTTCTTGGCAGGGGGAGTGAAGGGAGCACTGAGTCCCTTCCCTGCCAGGGTGTATTTGGGGAACATGGGTACTAGTGTCGGTTCCTGACAAGTTATTCAAGACAGTTCAATGACACCAGGGTGCCTTCATGTGGGGAGTGACAGACTACTTTTGTCGAGGGAGGGAGTTCAAGGACACCCAAGTCCTTTCATGTGGGGAAGTAAAGAAACTACAGGGTCCTTTCCTACGGCGGGGGGAATGGGTGAGGGAGGGAAGGAGGGAAGGAGGGAGGCAGGTATCTGGTGGTCTTTCCCCGAAGAAAGCGGAGGGAAAAAAGTACACAGCGGCCCCGGAGCGAAGGGTGTCGAGCGGGGAAGGGGACAAGAACACCAGGGTTTTTCTCTTACCTGAGCGGAAATCAGGGGAGCAGAGAGCCCTTCGGAGGCAGGAGGTTGGGTACGGTTGGCTCCTAGAGCTGTGTAAGCGGTGTAAGCTGCCAAGGTTCCCGCTAGCAGCAGTAGCGCTGTCCCCAGAGCCCAGTCGAGGGCACGGCAGGAGCGGACCGGAGCCTGCGAGACGCGATCTGGGTTCTCTGGGTCCGAACCGTGACCCATGGCGAGAACGGGTCGTGTTCCCGCTGGCCAGGGAGGGCCAGCTTTATCCTCGGGACCAGGAAGTGTAGTCTTCCGGGGCGGGGACCCTACTCCACTCCCCGCATTCACCCACTGCCTGGGAGGGGGTGGGTCCCTGGGCCCGAGCATCCAGCTCTGGGCGTAGAAGAGGAAGTTCTTACTCTGGGCAGAGGAAAAGAAAGTGACCTTGCTATGGCTAAGGCGCTTTGACATCAGAGTTCAAACATAGCCTAAGCGTATTTTAGGTTGTCCCTCTGTCTCTCCCCTGCCTAGAAAGAATCATAGAATCTATTCTGTCTCGATCTGTGTCTGCCCTCCTAGGACTCTCACCTCTGTGTCTCTCTTCTGTCTCTGTCTCTCCTTATCTCGGTCATCCAGTCTCTTGCAACCTTCTCATCCAAGGGTGTACTGGTAAAAGTTTAACAATTGGCTCTTGGGGGATGTACAAACAGCACACTTTAAAATTTAATCTGCATTAACGTTTTCTCCATCACTTTCTTAAGTCTAATCAATAACAAAGCAATGAATCAAGCCCTGATATGGAGTGTTTACCGATTTCTGAATTTTAAATGCTTATCCTGAAATTTTAACTATAGACTTGGAGCTGGTACCAGTACAACCTGAGTCCCACCCCCACCCCAAAGCCCCACCCCGACTCTACTGTCCTGGGATCTCCAGGTCCTTGGGAGGGAGGGCTAGAGAATGGAAGCTACAGAAGGAGGGACGGGGGAATGGGGCGGGGGGGGGTGGGTGTAACGCAGAGAGGAGTGGGATGAGAGAGGAGGGATTTAAGAGTCTCCCTTCCCGCCACTGTATTTCCCTTGAGGGCCGGCTTAGATAAGGCTCTCTCCCCTGGACAGTTTGAACTGCAAGCATCAATCGGGCAGTGAGCCACGCCCCCTCCAGCCCACTCAACTTCAGTCCTCCTCAAGTCAATCCCACCACTACCTCCCTCAAACTCCGGCTTGGTGCCTTGGTCAGATCTGGGAAGCTGGGAGGCCCCATTTCTAGGCCCCGCCTCCGACTCTCCTGTGGGGTCTTTTCCAGCTCCCCCCCTTATGACAACACAACATCGCCACCATCCCTCAAGTTCCGTAATTCACCACCCACCTCCCTGCTCGGGACAATTCCCATCAGGGCCGAGGTCTACTGTGAAACTGGGGACTCCAAACTAGAAATCCCCCTACAGGGAGAAAAGGGAGAGTGGGACAACGGTGGGCGGAGGAAACCCTGTTTCCCGTTTGTCTCCCCGGCCACTCCCATCACGTGGGTCAGATAGCCTAAGAGAATTGCCCTGAGGATGGCCTCTAGAGGGAGAGAAAGATGCTTGAGGAAAAGAGATCCCTTGCGTCCCAACCGCAACTGTGAATGCCTGAATCTTGCTCATTTTCCTCTTAGTGCTGGGAGGGCAAGAACAGAAAGGTGGTTAGGACCCTCAGGGCTTCCAGAGTCTTAGAGTAGAGCCCTTTTTTTTTTTTCTTGACAGTTTGGTAAAACCTATGGATCCTTTCTCGGAATAATTTTTTAAAATACATAAGTGCATAGGATTACAAAGGAAACCAACCATATGGAAATATAATTGTCAAAATACTTTAAAAAACAAGTTTATGAATCCACGATCTAGTTACACCGACCTTGTAAAAAAATGGGGAAGGGGGAAGTTGTTCATTTCTAGTTGAATTGTGTATGAAGGAATCTGAATGCTCTGTGTATGGTAAATGGGGGTTTGTGTTCTGTTGGGTGGGTCGTCTGGGCCCATATGTTCCTGGAATAGCTGTGATTTGTAGTGTTTGTGTGCTATGTGTTTGCTGTGCATGTTGTATATGTGATTCTGTCTGTTGGAGTGTGTCTGAGTGGTTTGCGGTCGTTGTTTCACAGCCTTCGTTTTGCAAGAGAACCAATGACATCACGGGTGATATCTCGATTTTCCAGTGAATTGGACTGAAGTGAGGCGGCGCTTGGCAAAGTCATCAGCCAGTGGGTGTGAAGCGTGTGCGGCGTGTTTCCATTTCTATGTGTTTACAATGTGTGTGGAGTATGTGGTTAAAGTGTGAGTAGAACAGACATTTGCAAAATAAATGTGGAATGTATATTTGTATGTCATGTTTTTGTGTCTTTGTATATGTTTCTATAGTGCATGGGACAATTTATTCAAAAAGCGTTTATTAAGTGCCTCAATGGCTACAAAGACAAAAACAAAGTATTCCCTGCCTTCAAAAGGCTTACCTTCCTTTTTTTTATGTCTGTGTTTATGGTGTGTGTGTCTGTGTTTATGGTGTGTGTGTGTGTGTGTGTGTGTGAGAGAAGTATATGTTTGTGGCATGTGTATAGAGGGTGTGTATGAAATGTATGTTGTATCTATCAGTGTTTCTGGAGTGCATGTGTGCCCTGTGTGTTGAAGCTAGCCCAGGAGAGCCAATTATTAAAGTTTCAGCGTGAGCATTTATGTCTCTGAAATAGGCACATGTTACAATTCAGGGCTTGATTTATTATTAGTTTGATTGTTTTTTTTAATTATTATTTAGACTTAAGAAAGTGAAGGAGAAAATATTATTCAAAGAAATTGGTATGTATCTGCATGTCATATGTAGCTGGCATATGTGTGCACACATATAATATGTGGCTATGATGCATGTCTGTAATTATGGGATTATGCGGATTTTCAGGGTGTGTATATGCTGCCTTTTTGTAAATGATTTTATGAATGACTGGGACTCCCCTGAGGACTCCTCATGAGGAAGCAGCACTTAAGAAAGAGAAATTCCTAGTCCACCTCCCCCACCCTCGGGACTGCAGGAAATGGAGCTTTAGTGACTAAGCAATGGAGAACTGAGGTTTCCTCCTGATTGGTGTTCCTGGGGACTCTGGCCAACTGCACTATAGCTCTACCTGCCTCCCTCGAACTGAAGTCCTGGTATTGGAGGTCGGGGATGGCAGTATGCTGATGGGGGAGGGTGCAAGTTTCACTTCAAACCAAAGGACAAGAGGAGAAACAAGAGAAAAGGAGGAACTGCTCCCTTAGAAAGGGGATGGCAGGCCACAGAAATCTCACCCCCTCTCCTCCCAGATTCCCCTTCACTGGGGAATCTCAGTGCATAGAAGGCATGCTTTGAGAGAGCCTCTGCTCCCCAAGGGGTCACCTCCCTCCTCAGCATCCTGGCTCAGGACTTTCCAAAAACATCCAGGGATCCCTCTCCTCCCTTTCCCGTCTGGAATGCCCCCTCCCTGGGAATGCCAGGAAGAAAACTCAGAAGTTCATCCTATACCAACTACTCTCCAACCCCACTATTTTCACCCTCCTGATAGCCTACCAGGAGTGGGTACTACCCCAAACAACTCAGAACCCAGGCATCTCCAGCCCACCACCACACAGAAGAGACTCAAGTATCTGCTTCCCCCTGCTCTACCACCCTCACCCACCTTTCACTGCCAGCCCCCCCACTTTCCCCCTCCACACACAAAGAGGTGTACATACATAAACACAAAGGAGACCCAGGGGTCTGGCCTCCTTATTCCATGAATCCCACATACATACATACCCAGAAGAGAGCCAAATGTCTGGCTCCCCCTCTGCCCCCCCTCAACCACTTTACACAAAGAGGAATCCAGATGTCCAGTCCCCAGCCTCGCTCCTGACCTCTAGCCTCTTCCAAAAAAAAAATATGCAGGAAACCCAGGTAACCCCAGCCCCACTGCACAGAGGAAACCCACATATATTTATCACCAGACAACCAAACAGAAAGAAACTAGATGTCTGGCCTCCAGTCTCACCACTCTCACCCCTAACTCCCTACACACAGAGGAAGTGCCCAGGTGCCCAATTCCCTAATTTCTACAACTCTCAACTCCATCACACTTCAGACTCAAGCCAGCATGAATTTAAACTGTTGAGCATTTCCCCACATTCTGTTGTAGTTGGCAGTCAACTAAACAGCCTAGGTGTGTGCTGCCTAAGCACCCTCTGGTGGTTGGATGCAAAACAGAACCCTTGGTGAAGGCTATGTCAGCATTTGAAACAGCATTCATTCAACGTTTATTATGTACAAAACACTGTGATAAATGCTGGGGATAGTAAATCAAGATACTCCCTGCTCCCTAAAAGCTTACATTCTAATGTTGTTGTTTAATAGTTTTCAGTCATCCAATTCTTCATGACCCTATTTGGGATTTCTTGGCAAAGATACTGGAGTGGTTTGTCATTTCCTTCTCCAGCTCATAGATGAGAAACTGAGGCAGAGTTAAGTGACTTGCCCAGGGTCACACTGCTAGCAAGTGTCTGAAGCCAGATTTGAACTCAGGAAGATGAGTCTTTCTGATTCCAAGCCCAGTGCTCTATCCACTGTGTCACCTAGCTGTCTCACATCCTAATAGGGAAAGATAATGCATATGGGAGATTTCAGGTTCAAGTCAGGTGGACAAACCAATGGTCATTAGGAGGCAGTAACAAAACAGATAGTATTGTATCTCCATTAATCTTTTTCCCATTATAAAATCGCATCTATTTTGGATGTCGAATTATTTGGCAATAATAAGGATTTTGGTGATCAGAATTTTCTTTTTTGAGGCTTTAATAATTGGGACTCTAGCACCTGCAGAGAGGTAGTTGATAAGCTGGATCTGTACAAAGTTATCTCCCTTGGATGATGGTTTCAAGGACTAGGCGGGTAGCTGGGCTTAGCAGTGGCGGGGGGTGGGGGGGGTAAAGCACTGCTAGTCCTGGAAATCTCAGATTTACTTTCTCTATGGTGGCATTTGGTTTTGGTGATGGTAGAGATAATAGGCCCCTTCTCCACCAGTGTTGTTCCCCCTTGATAATGGTTATTGGGGCTAGGCTAGAAGCAGGGCAGATGATACTAAGATTCACAGAAATTCCTGGAGCTCTTGGACTCTGAATCCTTGGCAGTGCCAAATCAATAATAACAATAATAAATATACTGCATGGCTTACTGGAAGATTTGGCTTCAAAGTCAAGGAAGGCTTACATTCAAGTCCTATCTTTGATATATGTTGGTGATGTGATTTTGAGGAAGTCACTTAATCTTCCATTGTTATAGGCATCTCTCTAAGACTATAAATTACAAAGAAGATGATGGTTGGCACTGATTCAGAGAGTTTCCTTTTCTGGAGCTCCCTATACCTATGAAATCATAGACCCAGGCCC